ACACTCGCTTCACTAAAAGCCCTTTTCCAGCCACGCACCGATAGAGACTTCTACCCTAAATTATATTTCCAAATAGGGGTGTGCGATAGACTTATCTCCACGTGGAGCACCCTGGGCAACGTATACTCATACGGCAAAAATGCCTATTAACCGGCAGTTGACTTCAACTACCAAGGCCCCCCTGTATGACATATTCGACCACTTCCACAGTACTACATTACATTTTTATCTAAATTTTCAACTTTCGTCTTTGAAACACTCTTCAGTTCCCCTTCTCTCGATTTGTTTTCACTTTGATATTCCTACCCTTCTGTGAAGCCTGAAGTCAACTCTAGGGCTAAGGATAACCATCAAAACGCCTGCCATTTGATATAATAAATATTTCCAAATAAACTCAACACGCCAATAAGTTCATACAAAACAATGCTTTTATTATACACCGTTATAAATCGAGATTATTCCCCTAAAATTTAATAAGTTATGTCCAAGACGGTATCATAAGTTCACTAATGCCTTTATGGAGTTACTTAGCTTGTAATGAATTAATTAATAATTATTAATTAATTAATTACTTATCAAAGTCATCGCTGTTACACAATTGGCTATTCATTGGTCATAAGTTGCCAATCGAGTTCGAAAGCAGTTGAAACTTAATTCAGGGGGTGGGGAATAGAGGAGCCATTATCTAGTCTTTTTATCCTCAATTTCAATAGCACGGTTTTCTCATCAATAGATTTACCATCCATGCTCCTTGAATTTGCAGATGTGCGCATAAATTATGCGACAATACTTCAAGTATTTCCAAAGTCGTTAAAATTGAGGATTCGTATAAATATTTTTTTAAAAAAAACAGCACATTCTGCGTTTCCTCTTTTGTGACCAGACTTAATCAATTTCGCTGATCAGTTGCTACATTGGACAGTTCACTTTGGTCACTGTCAATGACACATCATAGTTCCAATCCTTTATTGGTGCGCATTTTATCAGCAATGTTAATTATTTGCTCAACCTACACCACCTATTTTGACGAAACTTAGTGAAATCTAATGACGTTCGGTCATTTCAGCAGTATATGCCCATTTATCATAAAATCATACCAGTAATTTAACCAAAACCAATTTTTAAACAACAGTAAAATTAAACTATGTCTGAGGTAATGGATATTAATTAAAAACAGGAGGTTAACTAAACTTCAGAATAATAACAAATGAAAGTGGAATAACCTAAAACTGCATGATTTTAGTGCCACGACCGTGTGGTAAAAATATCCCCCCCTCCCACATTAAAAGCCTCCCAGTCCTCCCCCTAGCATGTGACCTCGAATCACCCTCTGGTGAACTCGTTATTTCACACACTACCCCATTTTCTCCCTCCCTCTCCCTCTCTCTTTTGGTTTCTGGTGCCCAACACAATCCTGTCTTTCCGCCACATATTTCAATCGTCTTGGTGAGTATTAAACGAAAACAGAACGTGTGGACTGAAGAAAACCTTGGAGAAGGGTGGAAGTGGGGGAGGGGGGGGGAGGGAGATTGGACACATTAGCTATGGAACAACCTCCATTGGCATAAGTTGCGGAATGTTATCAGTTAATAGGCAGGACTTTCTGACCGCAAAGAAACGTTGCAAATTCACAATTATCTGAACCCACCGGATTTCGTAATCTGATATTTAAGCTTCAGCAACCTTCTAACTTCGTTCTCAATCAAATTCACAAATAGAACTAACAAAGTTAAAGTATAACCTGCTTAGAAATCAACGTTGATTTTTTTAAAATTCAGCTACATTTTTAAAAAAAGCTTATTAAAATACAATATGGAGGGTCTTTAAATAGCACTGAATGAAACTATAAAAGTTGAAACGAAAATGCCTCACCCCACTCCATCCTCTACAAATCTGATAGCCAACGATTCGCGGCTATTCATCAATTAAAAAAAAAAATTAATTTGAAATAAAAAAAATTATGTAAACAGAGATTATATTTTATTCGTTAGTTGCGCCTAAGCTCATTGAGCGTCAATTGGGAAACCCACCAGGTTGTGAGCGATTGAACACCTGTGGAAATTTGAGTAGAGCAATTCAAATGGGAAAGGGGGGAATGCGAGATAAGATTACACAAACCAGAAATATTCCACGCACAGAATTGGGATAAGTGGAATGATAATGACTAGGTCCCCAACCCCCCCCCCCTCTGTTTACTCCAGGCGAAAGACTGCAATAACACCGTCGTATCAAAGGGAATTTCGCTATCACCCATTTCTCATCCAATTTTTACTGACCAAAATCGTGTTCCTCGTTAGAATCGTTATAACAATTTTAAACAAACTAAAATTTTCCCTATTCACTGAAAGAATGATGATTGAACAGTATGCTGCAATATTTCCCAGTTTAAGGGTTACTTTTTCACCATGAAGAAATTGGTCAACTTGCAGTCTTCATTCATTTTAAACACATTTTATGCACCCGTTAAACGTAACCACTGTTTGAATATATATATTAATTTAAATATAATGAAAAGCGAACTAATTTCAACTTATTACGAGAAAGTATCGCATAATAGTTAGAGATAATTCTAGTGGTAAAAAAAGGTGTTATGACTCACGTGCGTTAGCGAATACCTCAACACGACAAGGCCTCTCCTGCTTTCTCCGACTATGACAATTGGCAATTACCCCATTTGTAGTCAAAATGTTGTCACCCACCGTCGCCGCATCTCCATCCATGAAGAGCTGAAATGTGAGCACTTGGAATGCTTCGACGTAACTATTTGGCCGGATATGCACTCAAACACTCCCCACGTGTCACGAAGGCACCTGCTCAACCAATCAATCCATATTGATTAGCTCTAAACGGGTCAGATCAGTGCATTGGGTATTGACTTGAGAGAGAGAGAGTATGAGAGTACATTGCAAATGCGAAATCGCTGATATGGCATATGACTACTGTGGGTGATAATATCATGAGATATATCTGATCGGGTTCCTACTGATTATCCTCGTTAAGTACGTAATTAAAATATCTTTAAGAGTAGTTTTAAATTTTATTTAAATTTAAAATGAATTAGAGATAGGTGCTAATGATGTCTCTTTCAAAAATTTTCATAAGTGATTCAGAAATTAGATCTATTAATCCATAATAAAGTCGAAAGTGTAACGGTTTCTTAGACGGCAAAAAATCATATTTTAATCAATGTTGTTTGAGACAGAGATAGAGTTAAAATATGTCTTTCGTGGGAAATGCCAAGTTATAGATATCCAACTCAACTCGTAATTTCAAAAAAAAACCCGATTCATTCTTGCAATTATGTGAACCGATTTTGTATCGATTTTTGTTTCCTATGCACACCTGATTGTATTTTCACTAAATTAAAGTGCATTCACACTTTTTTTCGATTTTTTAATGTTTCTTCCATGTCTCTTAGTGAAAATTGAAATACTAATAGATCAATGAAATTTGCATTTTTTAAATTTAGAGCCCTTTATTGGGTAGTAAATGGTCTTGACATTTGGTCGCATTAATTGCTCCTTTTAAAATAAGAGTCATGGCATTTTGGTTGAGTGACATTCGTTTACTGCAATCAAACTATTGTTTTAATAAAATGATAGTGAATAAATGAGTTATATCAAATGGCCATATTACTGTGTAATAGTTGTTTATATCAAATGGCAGGTTCTATGATAGTTAACTTCTGACTCTACAGAGGGGAGGAACACACAGTCACAAAAGTGGAGAGGGGGGAGCAGAAAAGTGATTCACAGCTGTTAAAGAGACAGACAAAAGGTAGAGAAAAGGTAGGATTAGTGCCGTGGAAGTGGCGGAATTTGACATACAGTGGGGTCATCGTAGTTTGACGTCAGAAGTCAATTACCGGTTTATAGACTTCTTTACAATATGAGTACACGTTGCCTAGGATGCAACCCATAACAAATAAAGAACAATTGGCTAGAAATTTTTTATCTGTATTTTAATGTTAGTATGAGGTAATAGAAATGAAATTGAAATATCAGCCACCTTGGGACTCTCTCCCCACACACCCCCCCCCCCTCCACTCATTCTCCATGGCAAATACGTGAGAATGTGCAATATCAATTGACTGTGGGAGAGTGTGAATCAATCGATTTCTAACAGTTCCTGAGGCACAGCAAATAGCGTATTCTCGAATGGTCCTAACGATTTAAGATCCCAAATAAAGTCAACGACTATCGATTTTAAGTGAAAATAAGTTCACCTGGAGACTATTCAGTCATTATTTAGACATTTTCTGAATAATTTCAGTAATTAAGTTGAAGAATACTATGTCATTCCTCAGTGGCAAGTGAACCATTAAATAAAATGCTACACCGTTTATTAAATTTCTCAATTTTAAGAGTATTTAATAACTTTATAAATAGAAAATTATTTCACAGTTACAATGTAAGAATATATGTTTAGGATATTAAGGAAAAGCAATGCATTTGCGAAAAGTACAGATTTTGTAGGATTTTACAGGTCAAAGTGAATTCACTTTCCATAGTATCGTTACCGTCTACTTAGAAATGAGATTTTTATATGGGTGTAATCAGTATGGAGGCTGATAACTTAGAAAAAGCACATTGGTTTAAATTAATTGATCAAGTATTCTAAAAATACTTATTCTAATGCACTTGACAACTCAGGAAATTTGGAAATGACGCCACGTATTAAATTGAATTTTGAAATTGAAGAAATAGCCTTTGCCACTAGTCAAAACTATTTGAAATTTTATCAGGTATGGATGACTGCTGTATTTGATTTCCAACTGAGTTAAAAAAATTGTCTTTAAATTGTGAGGTAAGTAAGGAAAGAGATGAAGTCAAAAATGACTAGGAAAGGAAACATTCTAGGAAATTAGTTTTACCTTTTCCTCTGATTTCCTCGGATCACGCAGGTGCACCAGCACACATACATCTCCTCTACCTCTACTCCCCTCCCTCTTCGAAATTGTTTGAGGTAAAACTTCAACAACAACGAAAAAAAGCAATTTCATGAAGTCACGCAAATGGGAAAGAACGGAGAGGAGAGAAGTTTTAAGTTCCTCTGGAAGGGAAGAGGAGGAGGAGGAGGGGGAGAGCGGTGTGAGTGGAACGCGTGCTCAAACTCATAATTGCTTGTCGGATTTGGTTAATCCCTCCTAAATTGTGGAAGCAGGAGTATCTCAGGCACAACCTGCTGTCTCAAATAACACCCCCCCCCCTCCCCCAATTTTTCTGCCCTAGTGCTCACGACTTGCTGGTCAAAAAGAAGCACCTCCACCACCCTAATTCTCATCAAAAGGTGTTTGTTTGCGCCTCTGTCCTCCATTAACTACACTGAACAGGGGAAAGGGGAGAAGGCTAGGGAGTTCGAAGTAATTGCCAATTAAATCCAGTCGAAGTCCAGGAGGGATTGAGTCTGCTCTCGTGCCACCTTTGTGAGATAATCCCTTCATCCCTTCACTCCGATGGGGCAAAATTTAATGCCACTTCCTTGCTGAAAACGGTACAATGAGTAAATTGAATGTGGGAAACGGTGTGTTGTGTGTGTGTGTGTATGTGTGTGTGTGTGGTGGAGTTACCATAAATCTATTATAATGGAAAGTATAAATGTGATCTGGAGCTCAGTAAGAGAAAAAAGTTCAATATAAATAGATATTTAACTTTAAATTTAGCATTAAGTACTTGTTTGTAGTTGACCTGTTGTAACTTCAATTATAATAACAGATTAGCTTCTATTTAATTTAGATTAAGGCGTAATTGTGACCAGGGGAGTTTAATATGACAAACAATGAGTAATGCTTACACAGTGGCCTGATATTGATTTTGGCTTATTTTTAAATAGAGAGTTCGGATCCACCAGGAGACTTTGTTGTCACCGATGGATTAATAAAGCCAAAGGCTCACTACGCCACAATTGGTCTAACCCAGGAAAGAAGATACCTAGCACAATTAAGGCTCCAATTAAATAATTTATTATGAAAGTGCATCCTCTTGGTAGATGATATGAATAAATAAAATAAGCCAAATCGAATCAAGGGGGAACTTCAGCACCCGTAGGATAATTTACTTATGGAATCCATTCGTGCTCTCTTTTAATTGACGCAATAGTTAGCTTTATGGAAGCGTACAGGCTCATCTAATTTGTGATATACCAATAGTGGGTCGTTTGCTTCACAAATAATAATAAACAAGAGATATCTTCTAAGGCTGGCGCATTTTAGTCACGTCCTATCACTACTTGACTAACCGAATTTCTTGTTTCAACTCAGTCCGCTACCGCAAAATTGGCAAAATGAAAATATTTTCCTTTTCATGCATTTATGATCATCTAACACAAGATACAGTCAAATACTCCAATCTGGTTGTATCTAATTGTATTTCAAGGGGAAAAAACAATAAAGTAGTTTGATGAGTCGAACTTTTAATCAACACGAAATCCCTCCACCGAAAAGCCATTCGCTCATTGATGGGAAGGGGATTTTGAGTAATTGCCAATTAAGCCAGTCTAAATCCACTAGGATTTGCTCTCATTGCTTCACCTAGGTGCAGGATAATCCGCACACCATCTACACCCTTACCTCCACCCCACCCCCCACCTTTCCCTTCTCGTAGACGCACCTTACCATTTTTAAGCGCTGCGCGTTTTAGATATAAAAAATGGGTAGCCAATTGAGTTATCTCAGCCAATAACTAAATGAAATAAAATAGACGTTATATGAAGCTCGTTTAAATGCGATTGTGGATGAGTTTGTGCTCCGACCAGTTATCCCACAAAGCATAATTTTTTTATCATTTTCTTTTAATTTTAAATAAATCTAGACTGCGTTTAAGTAGTGCTCTAGGATTTAAAAACAAAGTTGTCAATTTAATTTTGAAACATGAGGCCTTATCATATGATCGTCTTTGAGAGTAGATATAGCCTCCTACTCATCCTTTAGTGAAAATGAAATATAATTTTAATATTTTAAACATTCGAACCTGAAGCCAATGATTTACACAAAAGCGAAGTTTGAATTTACTTTAATTGGGCATTTGGAAGTATTCAGTACAGTTTAAATTCAGTTGGGAAGTGTTGATTTCCTATTTTTCGTAGATCAGTTCGCATTCTTCTAATAGTGGAAGAAGCCATTCACAATAAATTAATATGTTATTTTTTAAAAGACTGCTCTCCGCGTTACTCAACAGTACTCTTTTGCAATTTTTTAAACCACTCAGGACTTACAAATGGAACCTGTGAATTTGAGATTTATTAGTCAATTCTTGACACTATCCATGTCTGTTAGGTACCTATTACCGCAATTGTGCGTAAAAGGGAAAAATAGCCTATATTGTGTTTTGGGCAACCAAAATCCAAGTAACATTTAATAGGGGATTAACTACTTCAGGCAGGGGGTGCGCGATAGACTTACCTCCACGTGGTGCACCCTGGACAACGTATTTTCTTACGGCAAAAAAGTCTATCACTCGGCATTTGATTGGACTTCGATTTATTATGATTAGCTTAAAAAAGGCTATAAGAGAAATCGCCCTTCGTCATGGCGAATCACAACGTCTACAGATCCTCCAGTGGAATGCTGGAGGGATGTCACAGGACGAAAAGATCGGATTCCTGGTCACTGTGGCATTAAAGGCAATGAGCTTGCTGACACACTTGCTAAGAAGGGGATAACGATTTTCCAAACGCATAGATCGGTCGATGTCTTCCCACACAATGAAGACCTTAACCAGGAGAGAATTCATACAACAAACTCAAAGCTCGAACAAAGGAGAAACAGTGGACAGTGGAAACAAAGGGGAAACAGTGGACAGTGGCACTCTCCGATTAGAGGAGAAATAGTGGACAGTGGCACTCTCCGACATACCCGGCTGGCGAGAATCGAAGCCGTTGCTGAGTTTAGACTACGTATCGGACAGTCCACACAATGAAGGCCTTAATCAGGAGAGAATTCATGTAATGAAGGCCTTAATCAGGAGAGAATTCCAGACCATACCAACGAACTCAAAGCTCGAACAAAGGAGAAACAGTGGACAGTGGAAACAAAGGGGAAACAGTGGACAGTGGCACTCTCCGATTAGAGGAGAAATAGTGGACAGTGGCACTCTCCGACATACCCGGCTGGCGAGAATCGAAGCCGTTGCTGAGTTTAGACTACGTATCGGACAGTCCACACAATGAAGGCCTTAATCAGGAGAGAATTCATGTTACAACAAACTCAAAGCTCGAACAAAGGAGAAACAGTGGACAGTGGAAACAAAGGAGAAACAGTGGACAGCGGCACTCTCCGACATAGCCATTGCTGAGTTTGACTACGTACCGGACACGATTGCTTGTCAAAACATCTTCACAGATTGGGAGTATACACTCAACCCACATGCCCTCTATGTAACCTACAGGAGGAAATGGAGAAGACCCACCTGATTCGATGTTCACCCCTAAAGACAAGGACGGAAAGTCAGAGATACTGGGAAGCAAGAAGACGGCTAATGAACTGCTATTAATTAACTGCTATATATGCACCCCCCCCCCCTTGGGGGAAGCTGAAGTCAAACTTTAAGGACTAATGATAAATATTACAAAGCCCGCCATTTGAAATAATAATAATAATACTACTTCAGGTATAAATTAAGCTCTAACATGTTTATTTGGTAGGGTTGATTTCAGTTGCACGTGAGAATTCCTCTATTGCTAACGATTTTAAATTGGCACATTAAGATGATGGCAGTAATCATCCAGAAAGGGCTGTTTCAATATGTGAGGGAATTTCATATAAAGAGTTTACAATCTCACCTCAGCTGGACTGGACTTCAGGGCATAATTTCATTGGCAACGAAGTTTTATCCCCTCTTTGTTATTCTTGATAATTCGAATGCCCTTGCAAGGAACAGGAGTTGGCTTTAATTTAGAAGGGAACGGGGAAGAGGGGGAGGGGGTGGGGGTGGGTAATTCACATTCGCTATTGACTCGAACAACGAGGATAGCGGAAGGGGAGGAGGTAGGAGGTGAACAATTATGTCTAAAGGCAATTATCGCACCAGGTATTAAATGCATAGTTCCAACCGGTATGGGAGAACAGCATTCCATGGAATACGGTAGGCAGTTCACTAAAATTACTTCCGTTCTTGTTCGCCGGAAGTGGATGGCTAATTTGCCTGCTTTGGGGATTTGATGGTTATTTGGAGATAGCATTAAAAATTTCGAAGTAGAATAATTAGGTGAGTTAGTGAGGATGTGTTGAAGAGGCTGAATTGCCGCAATTAAACGTGCAAATTTCAAAGCCATTCGTTAGATTTAAATAGAACGTAGCACTCGTTATATTCATGAATTCATTTAGTAGATGGTATAAAACTAACTGAATAGCGGGTGGCTGAGAACTCACAAGAAATCATGTCTTATAGGTATTTCGATCGAAAGGAGGAGATGTGATAGATCCTTTACACACTTAGCTTGAGATAACAGGCTGTTTAATGGGTTTAGGGTGCAGATCAAGTAAGGTTTGAGAAATTCATATGCTCACTCAAACTACTCCCATTTCCAGTCTAAAGCAACCTCTCTACATTTCCCTTCCTACGTGTTTTGATCCATATATGCCAAGTAAAGTTGCAACACCTTTTTCTTCGCCAATGGAAATCTCTTACAGGATAATTTGAGTGGAATGATCATATCATTTGGAGCACATTAAATGCTTACTTGATTGTATTGCCTCTAAGCCGATGGTAGATTTACAGTTTAATGACCTATTGTTCCTAGATGTCTTTAATTCAATTAGAATCCAATTCCTGTATGTAACAATTTTACAGCTTATGGTTGGATTAAAATTTACGCTTAAAAAGCAGTACTACTTATTATTGTAAGTAGCAACTTTTGTGTAATAAATTCCCTCGGTGGGAATATAAAATTAGTAAGAGCCATTAACTCAAAATTTCGACTTTTTAGATTTTTTATGACGGTTTGAGCTTGTGATTTCAAAGAATTTATCACTAGCTCGAATATACAACCTTACTAATACTATTAAGAATCCATAGATATAAGTGATGTAGTATGTAATGGGTATTTTTAAAATACCAGTGATGGGTCGATGTTCTTTAGAAGTAAGATGAGGCCAAGACCATCCTACAAACATTAGAGTGGAATTTTAAATCCATTAAGTCATAGCTACTGTTAGTTTGACTCGTGCATGTCTTAGAATAAAGCACTTGCCTTATAAGAATCCTGGTAGGAGAACCGAAATCAATGAAAATAGGAACCTCTTATTTGAGAAATAGAATTTTGACTTACTACTAATACATAGTCGCACTTGGGAATGAAGCTTCTCCACTTCCCTATTTACGGAAGAGGAGGCGTTGCTAGGCGATATATATATATCTTCTCATTCCTTCAGTCTGAGTTTGATTTTAGCTTTGTAGAGCCTTATTTCTATGGTTATCCTCATATCACATCAGTGACAATGAACAACTATATGAAATGCACTTCGCACTTCTGAAAACAAGTCAATTTTTATGGAATAATACAGGAATTGTGGCTGAGTGGAGTAGTTTGTGGAGTGCGTAGCGCTGTCACGACTGAACAAAGAAATCTCGAGCGTACTCAGAGAGACTCGATGATGCGACCGCAGGGAACAAGTGCGATTGTAAGCGCATAGACCTCCCAGCCAGCCACCAATCAATAGATCCCAGCATTGTTTAACACACCTTCCATTGTATCCCAAAAAAACGCATCCCACGTCATACGTCTGTTTCCACTATAGCTTGGAGATAGAGAAACTAAGCCTGGGAACCATTCCAAACAGGTGGATCTTGTCAAAGAGGTGACTAAGCATAAGTCAAGGCTTCTTAGTGTATATGTTTTTCTTAATTGTAATAAAGAATTCTTCAGAATAAAGAATTTCAAGGTCACTTTTCATATATCAAAACATTATTTTTTATTTAAGTTTTAATCTTCTTGCTGTACAATATCTTGGCAGAATTCTTTTACTACTGGAGAGCTTGAATACTTTTTCCTTCAAAAGACGACATTCACAAAGTCATAAAATATATTGTAGAATTAGTAACTCTCAAAGTTTTGTGACAATTTTTCATATTTAAACCATCATCATGTGACCATTCTCACGATGATATAAAGCGTAGCTGTAATTTACCAGATTTTTATTAACGTACTTCCATCCTGCGTATAACAGAATTGATCATCACTCCCATTCTAGTCGAAGAAGTTAGAATCAATGAATTCCATATATGGTGTCATGACCATTCCTTACTTATCTGTCTGTGGAGCAACAAAACTGTAATAGCGTCTTTTACAAGAGACCTGGCTTTTAAATTGAAGGATTCTTGTGTTTGCTTTCAAGCTGACACATCTGGATACCAGCAAGCTAACTGTTGAGTCTCCATCTCGCTCAACATCTCTACGAAATCCCCTCCATCCATGATTGCAGTTCTAATAAGCCTCCCTGCAAAGTACAGCACGAATGCACTCTAAAATTGCGAAACAAACATATCAAACAATAGATAGTGGGGCACAAAAAGTTGAATGATTATTCAAAGCAAATTAATTTTTATCACGTATACTTTGATAAAAAAACCGACGTAATAAACATAAGAAAACGCAACAACATAGGGGCTACGTAGCACTTGGTGGATGACTTCCCACGCATTTGCGAAAAATTAACTTTCATTCATATTCTCTATTACAATACAGGGAGTCTTCACCGTTGTGTCATAATGACTCAAACCTTGGCCTGTCACGTGTAGAGTTTACTGATCCTCACTCTTTAGCGTTGTTGTACACTCTTGTCCTAGTTATGGTAAGAATAGCACTCGCACTAGACATTGTAGACTGAAATTTCCCTTGAGGGAATTGTAAAATTTGAATTCTGGAATTTATTTTATATCAAATGACAGGCAATTTGATAGTTTCATTGGCCCTTTAGGTGACTTCAGGCTTAACAGAGGGGAAGAAACATTAAAGTGAAAAAAAAGTCAAGAGGGGATGGGGGGGGGAACAGAAGAGTGCTTCGAAGATGTAAAAGAGACAAACACAAAGGTAGAAAAAAGGTGAGGCGAGTACTGTGGAAGTAGCCGAATATGACATGCAGCGGGGTGTTGGTGGTTAGAAGTCAGAAGTCAACTGCCGGTCAATAGACTATTTTGCCGTATGAGTATACGTTGCCCAGGGTGCACCACGTGGAGGTAAGTCTATCGTACACCCCTGAATTCTGGAACTTGAACTATGCACATATAAGATACCCTATAACCGGAGTTCATAAATC